TGATTGCTGCTCGGCACAACTTTTCCTGTCAGGACAGTAATGTTGCTCAGCACAACTTTTCCTGTCAGAATAATAAATGTCATTAATCACATTTTTATATGCGGTTGAATACGTGACACCCAAAACCTATTTGGCTTATTTATATGATTTTAATATTTGATATTGGAGCCGACTTCTCTTGTGTTTTTGGGTCAGTAGTGGTGTACGTCTTGGAGTTCTGGCATGAAAACCTTCTGTGTTTTGTACACATCTTACTGTGCTCACTGGAACTTCAGTGGCTTTTTCCATCAAGTCTTGCTGAAGGTCTTTTGCAGTCACTCAAAGGTTTTTCACAACCTGTCTTCTCAGAAATCTGGTTGCAGCCACTGAAAGCTTCCTATTTCTGCACCATCCAGGTAGTGTATCCATTGTCCCTTCACCTTTGAATTTGCAAACTATGCTTCCAACTGTGTTTCTAGGAGCATTCAGTGCCTTTGCTATCTTTTTGTATCCTTTTTTGTGAAGGGCGATGATCCCTTCTCTATTTCCAACATGCTGTCAAAACGTGACACTCAACAAACCCCTAGCCAGTTCAGGTATTTCAAGTGTTCAACCTCAAGCACACCTGATGCAACTACGGAAGCACTTGATTAGTTGCATCAGGTGTGTTTGAGACATACTGCATATATGTGCGGTTGTGAGGGATTCTATTCAGGGAGTTGCATAATTTTGAGACTGGAGAAGTCATTATAAGTTGCATTTTCAGTTGAATTTAGGGAAAGCACTTTAGATATTTGGTGTGTTGCGCTATTTCAATTGCTTTTGTTTGATTTGTTCATTGCAACCAGCTGAGAGTCTGTAAATTTTGACAAATAAGGGGGTTGAATAATTTTGATTTCAACTGCATATATATATATACCCCTGGACAACTCTTTGCTTGTGATTGCTAATTGTTGTTTTATCTTACATTTACATGCTAGCTATATTTTTCAAATAAATGCATTGCTTTAAAAAAACAAAACAAAGAAAACAAAGAAAGACAAATAGAGATTGTTAGTGAAGGGGTTAATGTGTGCCTAACAAGACACTTTATATATAGAACGAGGTATCATCTATACTAGCCAGTTTCAAATAATACAAAAATGGAAATTAAATGTGTCTGTGCCCACATCAAATTATTTTTGAGCAATACACATATCTTGCATCATTATAATTTTAATTATAAAACTCAGAATAGTTGCAGCAATTATTTGATACTAACATTGAGCAGTATATTCAACAACTCTGATAATTATTTCTGTTTGATTTTCTAAGTCTGTACATTTAAAAAAAAAAAAAATGAAAGAACAACAAGTATAATTGATGGTTATGCACTAATGTTCCATGAAGTGAAAATGTTCAAGTGATTATAACTACAGGGAGTGCAGAATTATTAGGCAAGTTGTATTTTTGAGGATTAATTTTATTATTGAACAACAACCATGTTCTCAATGAACCCAAAAAACTCATTAATATCAAAGCTGAATATTTTTGGAAGTAGTTTTTAGTTTGTTTTTAGTTATAGCTATGTTAGGGGGATATCTGTGTGTGCAGGTGACTATTACTGTGCATAATTATTAGGCAACTTAACAAAAAACAAATATATACCCATTTCAATTATTTATTATTACCAGTGAAACCAATATAACATCTCAACATTCACAAATATAAATTTCTGACATTCAAAAACAAAACAAAAACAAATCAGTGACCAATATAGCCACCTTTCTTTGCAAGGACACTCAAAAGCCTGCCATCCATGGATTCTGTCAGTGTTTTGATCTGTTCACCATCAACATTGCGTGCAGCAGCAACCACAGCCTCCCAGACACTGTTCAGAGAGGTGTACTGTTTTCCCTCCTTGTAAATCTCACATTTGATGATGGACCACAGGTTCTCAATGGGGTTCAGATCAGGTGAACAAGGAGGCCATGTCATTAGATTTTCTTCTTTTATACCCTTTCTTGCCAGCCACGCTGTGGAGTACTTGGACGCGTGTGATGGAGCATTGTCCTGCATGAAAATCATGTTTTTCTTGAAGGATGCAGACTTCTTCCTGTACCACTGCTTGAAGAAGGTGTCTTCCAGGAACTGGCAGTAGGACTGGGAGTTGAGCTTGACTCCATCCTCAACCCGAAAAGGCCCCACAAGCTCATCTTTGATGATACCAGCCCAAACCAGTACTCCACCTCCACCTTGCTGGCGTCTGAGTCGGACTGGAGCTCTCTGCCCTTTACCAATCCAGCCACGGGCCCATCCATCTGGCCCATCAAGACTCACTCTCATTTCATCAGTCCATAAAACCTTAGAAAAATCAGTCTTGAGATATTTCTTGGCCCAGTCTTGACGTTTCAGCTTGTGTGTCTTGTTCAGTGGTGGTCGTCTTTCAGCCTTTCTTACCTTGGCCATGTCTCTGAGTATTGCACACCTTGTGCTTTTGGGCACTCCAGTGATGTTGCAGCTCTGAAATATGGCCAAACTGGTGGCAAGTGGCATCGTGGCAGCTGCACGCTTGACTTTTCTCAGTTCATGGGCAGTTATTTTGCGCCTTGGTTTTTCCACACGCTTCTTGCGACCCTGTTGACTATTTTGAATGAAACGCTTGATTGTTCGATGATCACGCTTCAGAAGCTTTGCAATTTTAAGAGTGCTGCATCCCTCTGCAAGATATCTCACTATTTTTGACTTTTCTGAGCCTGTCAAGTCCTTCTTTGACCCATTTTGCCAAAGGAAAGGAAGTTGCCTAATAATTATGCACACCTGATATAGGGTGTTGATGTCATTAGACCACACCCCTTCTCATTACAGAGATGCACATCACCTAATATGCTTAATTGGTAGTAGGCTTTCGAGCCTATACAGCTTGGAGTAAGACAACATGCATAAAGAGGATGATGTGGTCAAAATACTCATTTGCCTAATAATTCTGCACTCCCTGTATAGTTGCAAAAGGAGTATGAGTTACAGAGGGATTAAAACTGACTAAGTTAATTGAGCCTATACTGATGGTAAGTTCTTTTCTGTAGAGATTTTGATCCAAGAGAGTCAAATGGCACCTGCGCCAATCACATAAAAACCAGCCCACCGCCGACTACAAAAAAGAGTTCAATTAAAATAGAACCAGTACCCAAATAAAAGGCTTAAATTTATTTAATCCAAAGGTCTTACCTAAAGGTTCATGTCACCTTCTGTAGTGGCTAGAATGCCAGGAGAACACATAGTAACATGCCAAACATTTTGCTCACAGTTTGACAACTAACCTTTTACTCCCTCCATCGAGTCAAGTTGGGTGTCACTTTAGAGCAAAGCAAGACCCATGCAGGACTGCAATCATTGGCTAAGCAATTTCAGCTAGCGAATGAGGTCCTGTTCACTTTGCTGTAGAGCGGATTTGGTGGATGCAGTGTGGGCCACCAGCAGATTGTCAGATCATGCCAACTCAGTTTGACATCTTACCATGGGAAAGAGCCAGAGCACTCCTGACACCATAACCACTTCAGTGAGCTTCAGTGATGCAGAAATAAAAATATAAAAATTCCTTTTGGGAATGTCTTGCTTTGATGAAGCATTAACATGCTATAAATGTTTTAAGAGGATTCAAGCAAAAAATAAAAATACAGAAAAAGCCATAAATATAAAATCAAGTTTTATAAAAAAACAAACATATTATTAATAAATATCAATAAATGAGACAATTACAAAAACTTACAGGAACAGCTTACATTCTATAGGAGGTTGGGTATAAAATACAATAGGACAGGAAATAGCAATCAAACAAGGTGGGAGTGAGGCAGAGCACATAAATATTTAATTGATATAATCAATCAATCAATCAATCAATCAAGCTGTAACTCAGCATTCTTTTGCCTAAATTGTATAAACTCAGACAGTCTCAGGTAAATTGTGGATGATTTGAGGGACACATTGTGTCCAGTGTTGGCAAAAAATCATTCTCTGTGGTGGTGGAAGCTTCTTAGGAGCAATTATTTGTAAATTACATTTATTAATGCCCTATAAAAGAAAAAAAAAAGAAGAAAAATGAAATAACGTAGTGACCCTGCAGCGTCCTCTGTTGATTGAGCAGAAATATGTTGATTTGCATAATATCACTATGCAAATTAGCACAAAGAAATAGGCACTTACACTAGTTACGGTTACTTGATCTTCAATATTAAATATGGTTTATATATCAATGCCTCTCACCACATGTTAAAGAATGAGTTGCTAAAGGCTAGTCCTTGTTCTAAATAAAACATTTTAAGGAGTATACTCTTGGCAAGAACCTCTGGCTCATTTATAGCATTCCTTGCTAGAATGTCTTAGGACTTGCTTGTGAGGAAAGCTTGATCACTCGGCCTGAGAGCTGTAAGTGCTGGAATTGTCTTGGCAGAGCAAGGCACAGTCAAATAGGTCATTCCTGCTTGTAAGGAGGTGTAGGTAGAATGACAAATATTTGCACAATGAGACATTCCCAGCTGAGGACAATATAATTACTGGCTTGACTTTGATTTCAGCAACAATCCTTCTTGTGGATGGCAAGCCCACAACTCCAGTGGTTCACCCTTGGGATTGGCCTACCCAACACCACATGTGCAATACAAAAGAGGAATTGAGTAAAGGATAGAAAAAAAAAGAAATGGGTAATTGTGGTGAACAACCTACAATCATGTTGAAACAGATAAATAAAATAATATTTTATTTGTACTTGATTCAGAGTTGTCAGATTTGGCTAATTGTTTATAAGTAATCAATGACAAGTAAGTTCTTGGAGAGGTGACATTGGGGATAGGCAGTTATGCACAGAATTGACATTATAGAGCCCATAACTCATTCTGGGTTGGCTAATTAAGTTGCCAGAGGTAATGTTACTCCTTTGGAAGGTAGCCTAAATATCTCCGTACAGGCTAATTGCATCAAAACCACTTCAAAACAGTGATGTGGTCATGGTTCTTGTGCTAACTCTTTAAAGATGGGAAATTCTGATTGTGGCAAACCTAGCCACTTGGACTAAACAGGGACAATATGCCTTTAAGGGTTGCCGGTATATTTTATGTATGTAACTGTTTGCATCTGCTGTATCCTGCCTGCTATATTACTTGTATTGGATCTGCCGAACGCAGATAGTCAGTTTCTATTTCGTTTCACGAACGGCACTTTTGCAAGCCGTTCGTGAACCGAATGAACTATCTGCCAATAGCCCACACACTAAGAGACGTGTGGTGCTTGTTAACTGATTGCAACAATGTTGCAATCGGTAATTAGAGGCTCTCCTAGGTGGCCGCCGTTCGACTACTGACCGTGCGGTGGTCGGCCATCTTGGATCCTTTGTTCCCCCAGCGGTGTTTGGTCGTCGAGCGCATGGAACTGAAAACGGCTACTCGACGGCGCGAACACCGCTGGGCTTCCAGAGCGTTCGGGAGTCCCGGGACGTTCGGTAGCTTTATTCATCTTTGTCAATCGGTATTTTTAACTTGTGTTGTGAATAATGTGTTTTTCGTACGGCGTTCGGTTATTTTAGCTGGGATCTGAGCGGTATTCACACAAACGGTGTGCTCAGACCCCAGCTATCTACCGAACGTCCATTCGTTTAAATCTGTCAAGTATGTGAAAAGTTATGGATTTTAATGTGAATTTTCGGTTCTGCTGCACGGAGGGATAATCCACTTAACGGTACATTCCAGTGGGAGTATCCCTCTCGTGCAGCAGTGCCTGATGGGAGAAAAGCTCTGTACATTAAGTTCCCCATGTAGTCCACTCTGGGAATGCCCCTGGAATAGGACTCAGGAAACCCCTTGCATGGGGACTTGTATAAATTGTGGAGCTGTGAATAAAGACCTCAGTTGACTCCCAGCCTATGTGTCGTCTAGTTCTTGGGAGGGAAAGAGTGCTACAGCGCTACCTGGATTATTGCATGCTGATTCCCCTGGATTATCCTTTGTTGTTCCTGTTACCCAGCGGAGATATTGTGGATTATACTGCCTCTCCGCTACAATTGGTGGCAAGCGACTGGATTGAATCTACACAGCAAAGCAACGTTCGGCAGAATTAAAACGAATAAAGGAGCAGCGATTCGGGAATTAGCTCATTCAGATGAAACCCACGAACGGCCGGTGAATGGGAACAAATTACGCCCTGCTAAAATGGAGCACACTAAAGAAGCTGCTGGAAGCAAGAGGAGCAATAGCCAGTAACAAGGCAAAGGCGGTCTCCAATGGAGGGAGAACCAAACGAATTTGCAACCGAATTCAGAATACGAATGGCTTTATTCCCTGAACCACCATCTGCAGAGATGATTAACAGGCTCTTCGCTGATGTGCAGGAGTACATCATGTTTAGGAGGGCGCAAGGGAATCAACAAGCCGGGGAAAGAGCCGCAACGCCCGTCAATATCCTCCCAGGGAAAGCCAAAATCCCATACCAAGCCTTCAAAAGCTATGTGGAGGCTGACGGTGGCGTTGACGGAAGAAAGGTACAAGGACTTTGTGACTCTGGGACTACCTTAACTCTAGTCCGAAGTCATTTGGTACCAAAACCCAAGCTCACTGGGGACTGTGTTGCGGTACGGGTGGCAGGGGGAGCCATTTACAAAGTACCAACTGCCAAGGTACACTTGAATTGGGGAGCGGGGCACGGGAATGTGTATGTGGGGATGATGCAGGACTTGCCAGCAGATGTGATTTTGGGCAACGACTTGGGGGAGCTGACTTCAGCATTTGTTCCACAGCCCACAGTACAGGAGGCTTATCCGGTTGTGATCCGACAACAGGCTCGCACCACAGCACCATCCAACCACTCTGAGGCTCAGGTAAGCAATGACCCCCCCATGCCCACTGCCATGCCATGGGCCAACCCCCTAGAGTTTGGTTTAGAAGTGGCTCTAGACCCCTCTTTACAAGTGTATAAAGACCGTATTAATAAAGATCAAGCAGGATTAGAAGGGGAAAGGTATATCTGGGACAAAGGACTACTGTACCGACACGCAGAAAAGGTAGTGTCCGGGTCTATACCTTTACCCATTAAACAACTCATAGTGCCTCGAAAGTATAGGTTAGAGTTGTTACGCATAGCCCATGATATCCCCCTGTCTGGGCACTTAGGCATCAGTCGTACCAAGCACAGGCTGACCCAAAACTTCTTTTGGCCAGGTATTTCCCAGGACGTTAGGCGATATTGCCAGACCTGTGATACCTGCCAAAGGGTAGGGAAGAGAGGGGACAGATACAAAGCCCGGCTACGGTCTCTGCCCATAATTGAGGAACCCTTCAGTAGGGTGGCAGTAGACATCATAGGACCCCTAGCAAAGCACAGCCCATCCGGCAAGAAATATGTCTTGACCGTGGTGGATTACGCCACCAGATACCCCGAGGCAGTGGCGTTAACCAACGTACACGCTGAAACGGTAGCCGAGGCCCTGATGAGAATATTCACCCGGGTAGGATTTCCCTGGGAGATTATTTCCGATAGGGGCACCCAGTTTACCGCTGAAGTAACACATTAGCTCTGGAAGATATGCGGGGTACAGCAAATCCTGAACTCCCCATATCACCCCCAGTCTAATGGGCTCTGTGAATGGTTTAACAGCTTAAGCAAATGATCCGTACGTTCATGGACACCCAAAAGGACTGGGAAAGGTTTTTACCTCATCTGCTGTTTGCGTATCGGGAGGTCCCCCAAGAATCCACCGGATTCTCTCCATTCGAATTGTTACTCTTGACTTGATACGGGAACACTGGGAGGGAGACGAGACCATTAGTGGCACCCCTATCCTACCCTATGTGCTCGAGTTCAGGGAACGCCTAGAGATGCTGACCCAGACCGTCCGAGACAATCTCCAGGTAGCACAGCAACGACAGCGCAGATGGTATGATAAGGGAGCCAGGGACCGCAGCCGTCAGGTGGGGCAAAAAGTACTAATCTTGCGACCAGTACACAAAGATAAGCTGCAGGCTTCCTGGCAGGGCCCATACAAGGAGTGAGGGGACCTCTTGACTTGATACGGGAACACTGGGAGGGAGACGAGACCATTAGTGGCACCCCTATCCTACCCTATGTGCTCGAGTTCAGGGAACGCCTAGAGATGCTGACCCAGACCGTCCGAGACAATCTCCAGGTAGCACAGCAACGACAGCACAGATGGTATGATAAGGGAGCCAGGGACCGCAGCCTTCAGGTGGGGCAAAAAGTACTAATCTTGCGACCAGTACACAAAGATAAGCTGCAGGCTTCCTGGCAGGGCCCATACAAGGTGGTAGAACAGATCTGCGACACCACCTATGTGATCGGCACGGTTACAGGCACGGGAGGCAAACGCATGCTCCATGTGAACATGCTCAAGCCGTACCACGAACGCACCGAGGAGGTGACCGCAATCTGTGCTCCTGCCACCGAAGATTTTGACAATCTACCTCTCCCCCATCTCCTAGACCAAAAGGGCCAGAGCGGAGATCTGGGAGAGGTACAGTTAGGAGAGCGGTTAAACCCCCAAGAGAGAACCCAAGTGCAAAGGTTACTCCAGGAAAAGAAAGCCACGTTTTCCAATCTACCCGGCTATACCCCATTAGCTACGCATAAGGTAGAAACTTTAGATCAGACTCCTCTGCGCCAAACCCCATACCGCATACCCAAAGCAGTCAAAGAAAATATGAGCAAAGAAATTGAGGAAATGCTTCAGTTGGGAGTGATAGAGCACTCAGACAGCCCCTGGGCCTCCCCGGTAGTACTAGTGCCGAAACGGGACGGAACAACCCGTTTCTGCGTAGACTTCCAGCGGCTCAACGATAAAACGACCTCCGACGCTTATCCCATGCCCCGGATAGACGAGCTCCTAGACAAAATGGCCAGGGGCCAGTACGTTACCACAATAGATCTGTGCAAAGGGTACTGGCAAATTCCGTTAGCAGAAGACGCAATTCCTAAGTCGGCCTTTGTCACCCCGTTTGGCCTGTACCAGTTTAAGGTCATGCCATTCGGGATGAAAAATGCCCCAGCTACCTTCCAAAGAATGGTAGACAGGTTATTGGATGGGTTCCAGGAGTATGCATGCGCATATCTGGATGATATCACCATATTCAGCTACTCCTGGCACGAACATCTGGTCCACATAGGAGCCGTGCTAGACCGGATCCGGGAGGCCGGACTGACCTTAAAACAAAGCAAATGCCATATAGGTATGGCAGAAGTGCAGTACCTAGGCCAACAGAAATCAGAACCCGCTAAAATAGAGGCAGTCGCCCAATGGCCAACCCCTCGCACCAAGACCCAAGTGCTCGCCTTCTTAGGGACCGCCGGGTACTACCGGAAATTTGTGGCCAACTATAGTGCCCTTGCCAAACCCCTCACTGATTTGACCCGTAAGAATCTCCCTAAGCTAGTAGCCTGGGCCCCAGAGTGTGAACAGGCATTTCAACAGCTCACGACGGCACTTGTTAACTCACCTGTACTTTCTGCTCCTGATCCAACTAAATGTTTTCTCGTCCACACAGACACTTCTATGTGTGGATTGGGAGCAGTACTGAGCCAAGTTGGACCAGATGGCGGCGAGCACCCCGTAGCTTAACTAAGCCGAAAACTTTTACCCAGTGAAGTAAGCTACTCCGCCATTGAAAAGGAGTGCCTGGCTGTGGTGTGGGCTTTCAAAAAGTTGCAGCCCTATTTATACGGACAACCCTTTACACTACTCACGGATCACAACCCGTTGGTGTGGCTGAACAGGGTGTCAGGAGACAATGCCAGGCTGCTGCGCTGCAGTTTGGCGCTGCAGCCTTTTGACTTTACAATACACTATTGCCCTGGGAAGCAAAATGGCAACGCCGACGGGTTGTCCAGACAAACAGACTTGGAGCCGTGATCCGTGAGTGCTCCTCCGGACATCCCCAAGCCGATCCGTTGGGATCAGACTGTGTATGCCGGCTTGGTTCTGGGGGAGCATTGTGGCAAACCTAGCCACTTGGACTAAACAGGGACAATATGACTTTAAGGGTTGCCGGTATATTTTATGTATGTAACTGTTTGCATCTGCTGTATCCTGCCTGCTATATTACTTGTATTGGATCTGCCGAACGCAGATAGTCAGTTTCTATTTCGTTTCACGAACGGCACTTTTGCAAGCCGTTCGTGCACCGAATGAACTATCTGCCAATAGCCCACACACTAAGAGACGTGTGGCGCTTGTTAGAGGCTCTCTTAGGTGGCCGCCGTTCGACTACCGACC